GGCTTCTTCTGAATCCAGCTTGAATTTCTGGCAGTTCCCTGATGATGTACTGCTGCAGCTGCTTTTGAATGATCTTCAGCAAAATTTTACTTGTGTGTTATATTAATGATATTATTCGATAATTTCTGCATTCTGTTGGATCACTTTTCTTTAGAATGGGTACAAATATGGATCTCTTACAGTTGGTTGGCCAGGTAGCTGTCTTCCAAATTTTTGGCATAAATGAGTGAGTGCTTCCAGCATTGTATCCATTTGTTGAAACATCTCAATTGGTATTCTGTCAATTCCTGGAGCCTTATTTTTCCCCAGTGCCTTCAGTATTCCCTTGTTCTGTTCTGACTAAAGACAATTGAGATAGGCTAAGAATCTCTCTATGGGGACAGTGGTGGTTCAGTGGTAGAATTCTTGCTTTCTATGGGGACACTCAGGTTTGATTCCCGGCCAACGCACATCATGAGAAGGCACCACCCATCTGTTAGTGGAGACTTGTGTGTTGCTATGATGCTGAACATGTTTCAGCGGAACTTCCAGACCAAGTCAGACTAGAAAGAAAGGCCTAGTGATCTACTTCCAAATCAGCCAATGAAAACCCTATGGATCATAATGGTTCAACTCATTATGTGTGGGATTGCCATGAGTCAGGGGCTGTTGCAACACCCTGATGCTTTAATGTATTGAATTCATAGGGGATAGGGAAGATCTGAAGTAGCAAGACTATTGAAGGCTAGGTGATTTTGATGACTTGGATGTCAGACAGAGAGAATAACAATGATTGGTTAAAAATCATATTTTAGGGGGAAACTGCTATTTAATAATAATTTACAAGAGTCATCTGACCCAATACTTAGAAAAATAGCTTTGTATTCCAACCCAGCCCAGTAAGACATCCTATTTTCTTCTATTATTCTAGAAGACAAATAGGTCACACCCTTACCTTGGCCATAGCCCATACGAACTGGATATGCTTGAGGCAGTGGACAAAAATGTGGCTTACGGATTTTTAAGTTGGTAAAAATATTTAATCCTACAGACTGGAAAAATATTAATGGTTAAAGCATATTAACAATTCAATTTTGAGACTGGAATTAACTTTTTAATCTTGTATTACACTTTCACTATTAACATACACGTAGCTAATAGGATCATCATGATAATTCCACGCAATGGTGAAGTGAGGAATTTTATAAATGTGAAAACTAAAGCACAGAAAATCAAGTTCATTTAGTTAGTGAACGTTAAAATTGGGATTAGAACCCACTTTCTGATTCCTATTTCAGAATTCTGTCTGCTATATTCTGATGGGAGCCCTGGTGACGGAGTGGTTAGCACTCAGCTGCTAACCAAAAGGTCAGCAGTTCGAATCCACCAGCTGCTCCTTGGAAACTCTGTGAAGGCAGTTCTACTCTGACCTACAGGGTCACTATGAGTTGGAATTGACTCGACGGCGACGGGTATATTCTGGCGAGTTCCCCAGTGCTGCAGTGGTTAAAGCACTTGGCTGCTAAACAAAAGGTGGGCAGTTTGAACCCACCAGCTGCTCTGTGGGAGAAAAATGTGGCAGCCTGCTTCAGTAAAGATCTACAGTCTTGGAAATATTCTGATGCCACTTTAATTATATTTTGCACGCAAGAAAGTAAGTATTTAGTCCTGTATGCTTTCTTCCTTTCTTCCCCCGCCCCCCCAAATAGAAATCTATATCTGTGTTTATGTCTCTATATGTACCTATCCATATTCATATCTATACATATAACCCCACTACTTTATTGCAGACAGTAATTTTTTGTGTTTTTTTTTAGTTGTAGGGTTGCGTATGGTTTTTAGGCAACATATCGCATATTTTTCTTCACAATCTTAGTAAACTTTATTCATGTTTTATTGGAAGATATGCCTTTTCCTGAGTACCTATGTGCAAATCATCCCTTTCATCATTTTTATTTCCCTTTTATTTCTTATAGTTTCTTTTAACTATCTTTGATCTCTTTACCCAAAACACACACACAGGTACTCACAGCAGCCTCGTTCCTAGAACTTCTATGTTCCCAAATTTATCTTTCTTCAATGGTAGCCATAGATAAATACTACTAGCTGTACTATCTCAGAGTACATGGGACACTCTGGACTCTGGGTCACAGTTGTCAGTGGTGGTAGTGTTATGGGATAGGGAGGAAAAGGTTAGAAAATAAAAGTTAAAAGATTAAATTAGCTAATTAATAACCAAAGGATCCTCTTTCCATTCCTCTCTCGCCTCCCACCAACTGATTTATGACTCTGGAGGTACAAGAAGAGAGAGTTAACCTGCTCTCAGCTAAGCTGTCAACCTGTATTAGAAGAATGAAGTATATTTTCCTCAAGGTATCATAAGAATTTTTAGTCCTTTTGGTAGTTATAAGATTAATCTCACAATGTGAATAACCTGCCCTTTTATAATCTTGCCTAGTTAGAGTTAATCCTGAAAATACACATTATTAAAGCATGCTAACATTTCTAACACACGTTTTGTTAACCGTTTTAAATGAAGAGCTGCTTCCCGGTTTGCTGAAATTTTACTGAACTAAAAGTGAGGACTAAAGCATTATACTTTGTGTATTCAATCATTTTTTCATTCAACAACTATTTAGTGATTGATATAATGGCTGCCAACAAGGTACTTACCCTTCTAAAGATGTCAGAAACACTGTGGAAGATTTTTGTTTTGTTTTGTTTTGTTTTTCTCACATGTTAAGATCTCTTTCAGTCACTGGGGTGGGAGATGAGAGTGATAACTAGCTTTGGGGTCAACTTGATTAAGGTTTTGAGCCCTAAAAGCAAACACTATTAAAGGTGTCAGAGAAATTTATGTTTGAATATCTGTATGTATACAAAACTTTCTGTGCTTCTGAGGTTCCAATATTTTTCTGTTAATCATCAATTGATTGGCGGAGGGGAGCAGATCCTAGAACTTAGAAGCTCATTTATTATCCAGCTTAACAAAGACTGAGGAATAAACTTTGGTTATGTTTTTAGGAAAAAGAACTACCTTGAGGATACTGTAGACATCATCTTCATCCAGGACCTGCTTTGGTGTGTAAATGATTCCACCCTTAGTTATGTCTTCTGCATTGACGCAGCTTTCACCATCTTCATTCATAACTCCTCCATACATAACTCTTGGGATCTCCTTTACTGGTAGCAAATTATAGACCTGCAAAATCAAGAGAAGGAATCCCTGGGTGGTGCAAATGGTTAAGCGCTGGACTAGTAACCCAAAGGTTGGCAGTTTAAATCCACCCAGAGGTGCCTTGAAAGCCAGGCCTATCGATCTGCTTCAAAAAGGTCACAGCCTTGAAAGCCCTATGGAGCAGTTTTACTCTGCACACGTGGGGGAGCCATGAGTCAGAATGGATTCGGTGGCACCTAACAACAGCAAAAGAAAGAGAACAAAGGGAAAACTGCTGCCTGGTTTTTTAAAAATTTTATTTTACATTTAATAATACTCAATACAGAATTTAACAGATCTTGGTGTGTATTTAACATCTTTCTTACATTATGAAAAATAACACTGAAACCCATGGACAGATATTAAAGGTCATGGATCCTAATCCTCTTGCACAAAAGAAAGTAATATACATAGAGATTGAACGAATTGATCAAAGTCTCAGGCCCATTTTGGTTGCCAAAAAAACTCAAACCCATTGTTGTCGGGTGGATTCCGACTCACAGAGACCCTGTAGGAGAGCCCTGTACGGTTTCCAGGCTGTAATCTTTACAGAAGCAGACTGCCACATCTTTCTCCCTCGGAGCTGCTGGTGAGTGCCAACTGCCGACCTTTCAGTTAGCAGCCTAGCGCTTAATCATTGCGCCACTGAGGCTAGAATAAAACACAAGTCTCCCATCTCCCAGCCCAAATGGTTATTGTTAAAAGGAAGCAGAGCATGTGGACAGTACAGAAAAGTGTAATGAGAATAAAATAATCCCATCCCACTCATAATCCCATCACCTAGAAATAGTCTCTGTGAACATTGGATTCATTTCCTTTCCTAATTTTACATGATTACACTTTTACCAAATTTTCTTTTTAGTCTACTATTTTAGGATCAAAGGAGAGCTGGTGGCGCAATGGTTAAGCACTTGGCTGCTAACCGAAAGGTTGGCACTTTGATCTTACCCTGCCACTCCATGGGAAAAAGACCTGCTTCTGTAAAGATTACAGCCAAGAAAACCCTATGAGGCAGTTCTACTCTATCACATAGGACCGCTATGAGTTGAAATTTACTTGATGGCACCTAACAACAACAACATTTTAGGTTCAAATTTAGCCTTACAGAAAACTCCACGCAGGGATAAGCTAGAAGTAAATCAATTCAAGTTCATTTTTTACCCAGAGCCTAGTGGAAGGGCACCTGTTCAGTTATGTAGCATTCAGGCTATGAAACCTCATTCTTGCCTCTTCACTCTTGTCAGTGGACAAGACCTTCTTAACAGATGAATTTAAATTGTACTCTCTTAAAATGTTAGGTGGTTTACTATTGCATTGACAGTCAGCTCAAACTCCACATTAGGCTGAGAGGCTTGGCATGATCCTCCTTGCTTACTGTTCCACCTGCAGCCTCTACAACCCTTCCCCTCTCACCGCTAGAATTAGGTCATTCCCTTTTGCTTCCTAGAACACTCCAAACTTGTCCTGACCTCAAGACCTTTCGGTACGCAGCTTCCATTCTTCGTACTGCCCCTCCACTCAGCTTTAGGCTTCATTAGCTGTAAACTCTGTCATAAGAAGACTCCCCTAATCACTGTATTAAAATGGCTCAACTCTTTATTATGCTTTATTTCATCACCCTATATATTCCTTTCATAGTACTTACCAAAATTGGGAACTGTTATATGTTTTTGTTGCTTGTTTGTGTTAATACCTCACAATAGTATAAAATCTAAAAAGTCAGAGACCACATCTGGATGGTTTACTATTAAAATCCCTATTCTAGCACAGCACCCACCCTGTAGTCAAGATGGAGTAGATATTTGTTAAACAAGTAAATGAGCCACAAAGCCTATAATCTATAGGCCTTTTTTTGAAAGTGCTTCAATAGAAGAGACATCTTTAAACGAGAAATTTGAATGGAAACTCTTTTTTTGTTCATACTTAAAACCAGTGAGTAAGTGCCTGGATTTCAGTGAAAGCTAAAAAATCTGGAATTTCACATAATATCTTGAAATGTGGTGACTTAGTAAGCGGCTCTGAAAGAAATTCGGTTCAAATTCCACCTCTAAAATATATTTTTGGTGAGCTGTTTCTATAGTTATTTAATCTATCTTAGCTGTACTTTCTTCATTCATAAAATTAGGATAATAATGCCCACCTCCAAGAATTATTATCCACTTAGTCATTCACTAAAATGTATTGAGTAACTTGTTATACACAAGGTACTGTGGTAGGCATGGGAAATGGAGTGGTGAGCAAGAATGCTCCCTCATTGAGTATGTATTATAACAGAGAATGAAATGAGATGATATATGTAAAGAAGCTCGTGCAATGGCTGTTGTCAAATTGAATCGAATTCCAACTCGTAAATAACTCACTACATTATGCCTGACATTTTGAAGAGCTTGTCCTTTGCAGTTATAATTTACAACTTCCAAAAATGGTCTTATCATGTGTGCATTTTCTGGCATCCAAGACTGAAATGGGACTCACTGACTGAGGTGAGAGCTCCGCTTCAGGTTTCATTAGCAGCACACTCTGGTCCACTGCACGGAGGGCACAGAGGGAGAGGGGCGTGGCTGTGAGCTTCAGGTGAGTGTCCGAAGCTGGCAAGCTCTGGGCTGAGGAGAAGCTCAAATTTACCTGCAAAGAGGATATGATTATAGCACCAGCTTTTATAATTATTACAGTCTCAAAACTCTCTTCTGCCCTAGAATAGGACTAGTCCTTTCTACCCTTCCTTTCTCTTCATCCATCTAAAAGTAAGATTAATAAGCATCTCTGGAATACAGTGGAAATGTGGGTGCAGTTAACTCCGGTTTCTCACATGTAACTCCTTACATAACCAGTAAAATATAGATTGGCTTTTTATCACTCTGAAATGGATGGAATTCTTGAATGGAAGTGAAAACACATATACTAACAAAAACACATAACATGGTGTAGCTGACCTATCTCCGTGTGGTGATTTGTGATGAAAGTGTGTGGTTTATATCATGCTATGAAAAAAAAACACATCTTATCCTTGAGTCTTGAAACTTAAACACCTGAAATTCTAACACAGTGTAGTGCTTTTTATCAGTATCAGAGATTTATTGGTTTTTTTTTTTTTATTAAGCCCTTTAATATACATCCCAGGAGTTGATTGGTTCAGAAATTTGACAAAGAACTGAATAAAAAACAAGATCTACAAATTAATGGAAAACACTTTTGCAGCATCTTTTCAGTGATTTGATTCTGCTTGGCCAGTAGACATTCATTGGTTAGTAAATTTATTGATTTATGAAAACATTTTTTAAAGTAGATTTATGAAAACATTTTTTGATAGATTATTCTCCAGTATATTAAAGATTTGAAACATAAAACAGAATTTAGTTTCTATAATAGCAGCAGGTAACTTTCTAGATTCTTGAACTACAAGGTGATTTGAATTGACATAAAATATCAGTATATTCAGCTAAATAATATTTGACTTGTGTTGCTGAACCAAGATAGCAGTTTAGAATCATATGTCTTGAGATATATATGAGAAATTAAATCAATTTATTTATCTTCAAGATGAAGTAGTATTCATCATTCTAATTCAATATATTATAAAAACATTGTTTATGGAGAACTCTATTTTAAACTTTTTTACATTTAGAAAAGTTCATTAAAATATGTTTGTGAATGTCCATGTCAAATGAACAACTGAGTTATTTTGGATTATAATCAACTGAAAATGCTATTAATCAAGAAGTGGAACCCCTGAAACTATGGCCCCAGGACGTTCTGTTAACCCAGAACTAAAACCATTCCAGAAGCCCACTCTTCAGACAAAGATTAGACTAGACTGTAAAACAAAAAATAATACTCGTGAGGAGTGTGCATCTTAGTTCAATCAGATACACGCGATCAAATGGGTGGCTCCTGTCCAGAGGCAGGATGAGGAGGCTGGAAGAGACAGGAGCTGGTTGAATGGACACAAGACACCCGCGTAGAAAGGGGGAGTGTGCTGTCACATTGAAGGAATTGCAACTAATGTCACATAACAATATTTGTATAAATTTTTGTATGAGAAATTAACTTGAACTGTAAACTTTTACCTAAGGCACAATGAAAAACAAGAAAAAGAAAACTCCTAAAAAAAAAAAAAAAAGGGGACATGTTAGAAAAAACAAAATATTCTACTGCTATGAAAACAAAACAAAAACTCCTTTAAGACATATTTTCAAAGAGTCTGAATTTATCTCTATGAATCAATGTTATCCTTAATGACCAATTATATCCAGTTAAGGACAACACATAATTTTAGATGTTATAAAATGTTTAGTGTGTGCATTACATCTGTTATGTTCAAACTAAGAAAGAAGTATATAAATTTTGAACAGAAAGCAGTTTTTCTCTGTCCCAACAAAATTAAGATTGAAAAAATTATTTATGGTTTATCATTTCAAAGGGACATATGTCTGAAACTGACCTGGGTCTTCCCTCACATTCTTAGTTCACACTTTAGTCTGTTTGCTCACCATCTTGTAGGATGTCTAACTTCTACGGTCTTTAAATTCTCACTTTAATAGACTTAACCTTTTCTAACTTTTTGTGGTAAATCTAAAATAATCAGCTTTCTTCTAAGCACTACATGAATTATTTTCCATATTACTTATTTTTTCATAGCTTATCTCCACCTCTGATCCATAATAAATAAGTTAAAAAGTATTTGACATGATGTGATTGAATATAATGTCCTTTGACCTTTGCTTCTATGGGGAAGTTTTATGGTGTTACATAGGTAATGTAATATATTTTTTTATAATCAGAAGTGTTTTTCACATCATGCTCCAAGAAGAAAATGCTCTTCTATCAAATACGTTTTCAAATACTTCTCTCATGTCCACAGTGTGAAGAGAAAACTGACTCACCAGAGATAGACCATTGCTGGAAAGTGTAACGTTAGAGAGAAAGGGAGCCGTAGCATAATACGGCCATTCCAAGAAGGAATCTCTTCTCAGGTGTTATAAAACACACAGAAGATCCAAGGGAGTAGAAACTATGGTCTTGGCTACATTTCTCCAGGTTTAATAGGGTTCTTTAGTAAGATGGAGTTGAAAATTTATGTAAGTCCACTGGGTGTTTTTCTTAGATCATTGTATATAAAAATAAAAGATAATCTGAATATGTTCTCATTACAGAAATTTTCACTTGCTATAAACATATATATTTTTAAATCTCCATAAATTCCATGTTAAAAAGCCCTCCTAGTTAGAAAAGATATATGAATTAGGCTTTTTCTACTTGATTGCTAATGTTAAGATTATGCTGCCAGAGTATTAAAAAATTAGATAAGTAGAACAAAATTCTGTTGGGATAAAGCTTATTTCTATCTCATTGGACTTCACATTGCAGCTCTGTATTTTTTGAGAATAAAAAAGATCTAATTTTCATCTAGCTATGCTAGATTTTTACGCTATAGTCATTATTGGATTGCTAGAGTTATCTCAAATGGGGTTCAAATGTACTTCTCTTCTGTAGTATCTGTATTACCAAACTGAATTCAATCTCACAATAACATATTGGTTTCTACAGTGGTACATGGAAGGGTGTCAGGAGGCATGATGGGATAAAACTGACACATCTGAAGCATCATTTTCAATGGAAAATTTGGGAAACAAAACATTTTAAGATTAAAATTATTAAAGTTTTATAATAAAATAGATTTTGGAATCCACACAAATCTTAAGATAAAACAAGAGATTTTAAAAAATTGTGCTCATGACCACCTGCTTTGGACTACTCCACTAGACCCCTTAAGGTATGGCACGTCTCCCCTTGCTTTTAGAGGGACTCAGGATAAAAGTTTTAGGAAGACTATATGGCAATCTTTTAATATACACAATTCCCTTGTTTTCTATACTTCACAAGGGGAGAAGAATGAAAGGACTGGGCTGAAACAAAACACCCACCTTGTTGGCAAAACAGTTTTCAATCTCGAGTTTCTCGACGTCTGCAACAACTTCTCCATTGGGTAAAACAGTATAGACGAGCAACTGAGCAATGGGAGCAATGTCTGATTCCACTTGAAACGAGAAGGAAAATATCCCTTTTGCTGCAGAATAAAGACAGTGCAAGATAATAGATAAGGAACAGAGCTCTCAGCCTTACAAAGAGATTCTCAGATTACTTCTCACATTTGGAACATACTGAAACAAGAAAAGACTTGCATTTATAACACTGTGCATGTAGTGTTCAATAAACATAGACTGAACTAATAACATTTTTTCTTAAAGGTATAGGTTTACTCTTTCATTTCCTCTGCCTACGTAGGGAAAAAAAAAACTAAATATTTTGTGCATGTCTCTGTAAATTAACAAACAAACAAACAAAGATTTATTGCAAAAGCAGTTAAGAGAGACAAAAGGAGACAATTTCTAGACACTTCCACTTATTTCTATCTAAGAGTCACATCAGCACAATTCTTGTCATATGCATGAGAGCATTACAAAGAATGCAACACAGTGTCTAACTGCAGGAAGCTTACAATGGAGCAGAGGGGATGAGATACAGGTACAAATAATCCCGTACAAAGCATTGTGCTCCTCTGATTTTTATAAAAGAATTTTATGTATTTATCTTAGTGATTGCTTTCTGTGTGAATTACATAAATTTTATAGAACGTAACCTGCTTAGTTTTCTCATAAAATGTTCTAGGTTTGATCTTTGTAG